GGACTCGACAAAAAGTCCAAAGTCCGCAGGTTTACGGTGATTGTGTCGTTTCTGATATAGAAGTGAAGATTTTCCCCATTTAAATTATTGAAATGAGAGTTTCGTTCCTAAATAGTAGACACTCAATACCTCATCTTAAGTTTAGTTAGATCTAAAAAATAAAATTTTCATTTAGTTACCTTGTATCATTTTTGTACATTAAATATTACAGGCGCGATTTTTTCTTTTGTAATGATAACAGACTTTTGGTGGGAACTTACTTCCCAATTCATCTGATTTTCGAAACTTAGGTTTGTATTGTATCATTCATGGGACATAGTTGCTAACTACGTTTTGTTCACTTTAAACTGGAAAAATCTCTCCAAATCTTTTATTTCAGGTCCCGCCTGAAGGTGGAGACCTATTACACACCCTGGTAGCCAAGGTATAACTAGGAAAGTGCATTTTTATTAAACATAATGAACTTATAGTGTATCCATAAGTAAGGTGGTTTTATGTTGACAACGACTTTTTTATTTTTAGTTTTCTAAATTTTTTGTATGAGACAATAGGAGATCCGCGGTGTACGATTGTTGTACTCGGTAGCCTAATGGGCTCGCTCTTTTCCCCCCCCCCCCCCCCCCCCCACGTTGTGATATTACCGTGGCCTTTAGGCGAGAAGCGAGGGAATAATGAATCTGGATCAGAGCATTATTTTTGCCACCCCCCCAGGTGTCCCCCCCCCCCCCCCCCCCCCCCCACCCCCTGGAGCATGAATTCTCCAATTATTGTTAGGTGTCATAACATGACATATAGAATATCAAGTTACATTAACTGTTATTTATCAACAACAACTGACTTAACATGCAGAGAAATAAATAACCGTGTCAAACAATACTGTACGGTCTGCGAACTAGTTCGTGTCGCGATGAAGGTAAATATTTTGCCTGTTCGTTAGTTCGTTAGATAACCAGAATCTTGGGCATATATGACCTCGCCTATGGTGCCATCTTAACCATTCAATGAAGGTGTTGTTCAGTCATTGGGAGGGCGGCAGTTTATTGTGTAATGTTCCTCTCGGGCTGCATTTAAAAATAAAATAGAGAAAATAAATAAAATAGCTTTTGAAAATGTGTGCATCTTAAAAGTGCTTAATTTTAGATAAATAAAATAAAGTGTGGCAGCAGCTTGAGTTTCCCTTTTTCTTTGTTAACCGTTTCACATCATGACTTAACAGTTTCAGACGATTATAGAACAATATCAGTCTTTACACATCATAACAATTGAACAGTTTTAAAGTTTCTCTTTCTTTCCCTCTTATATTCCAGTCCATCACTCACTTTTTTTTATTCAATGCGAGAATTGAGCTCGAGCTTGTCCTGCCAGGAGTTTAAATCTGGGCTGAAATGGTGTCAGGGCCATTCTCATACACACATGCAGGTGCTCATTGGTTAGCCTCGGTTAGCCTGCCCTGGAACGATATTTAGTTTCTGTGACCTCAGTTCTGACTTGAGAGGGAATGTTTGGTCAAACACTTTGTGTTTTGTCTCATAGTGGCGTTTTGGCAATTTTAATGAGCGCCACGGTCTCTGAACAAATGAGACACACTGGTTCTGTGCTCCCAAACCAGTGGGCAGGATGAACATGAACGAGTCCGTCCACTCAGGGTTAAAAGCTCTGTCCACTTTCCTCTTCTTGGGGAGTGCCATGTGTCATTATGTGTCTCTCCCTGTCTGCCGCTAACACGCTTATTCACTCTCCTCTCCGCTTCTCTCCCTGTATCGCTAATTATTCTCTTCACTCACTTTCCTCTCCGCTTCTCTCTGCCGATCTCTCGTCTCTTCTTCTGTGTTTCTCTCCCTGTATCGCTCACTCGTCTCTTTCGCCCCCTGTCGGCAGCCGTTAAAATAGAATCGCCCCGTCAAAATTGAAATCCCCTATTAATGTATTGATTATAGGTCCGGGTCCGTATAGGTCGGCGTCTGGGTCCGGATCCGGACCGCGGTCCGCCTGTTGCCGACCCCTGGTATAGAGTGTGGAAATGCCTATTTAAGTCACACTCCAAAGAGAGACATCTGTAGTTTTCTGCATTAAGGCACTAACCAGCAATGTTTCTGGTGAACAATTCAACCATAGCCTTCTGTGATTCCATTGTGTGATTGATTCATATCACTTCATGTTAATTAGAGGGCAACATTAGATTGATCTGAAATGAAATACGTTTTACAAACCTAATGTTCCTGTAATAGGTTTCCTAACACCCAGATATGGACTAATTAAAAGCTGACTCCTGCCAATGCAATTTGAAAACCACCTGTGATTAACAGACCCAGGGAGATAGAGGACGAGAGCGAGGGGAATAGTCAGGGAGGGAGAGAGAGAACAGGAAGCATAAATAGAAGAGACACCAATAGACAAACAGTGAAGGGTGAGTACAAGCTTCTCAGAAAACAACAACACTCAAACGTTAACCTCGTCTCTGGGTCTACCATAGCTTTTTCCTGCGTGCTTCTACACAATGTAACTATTATAATTATAAAGCCAATCACCAGCATATTTGTACAAGCATGCTACATCATTGGCTCACAAACGATGATATTTAGTCCTTATTGTGGTATTAGAATAAATAAATAATAAATAACAAGGATTATTTCTATACTCGATAGTTTTGAAGTAATTTGTTCGGTGACTAAATTGATCAAAGTTTGGTACCTGGCCCAATTCTTTTAGAGAATAAGAGGAAATGGAAGGAAAAAGATGACATGAGGTTCAAAAAAGAAAGCGAGACCCTTCAACATGTAGCCATACACATTAACCCTAAGGGGACATCCATACTGCACAAGCGTACAGAAGATTTCTCATTTGAAAGCATCTACTGTAGAAGCCACTGCTTACTTGCTTCGTCATCAATACCTTAGCAAGAAAGTGTAGCCCCTGGCGATATGGCAGAATGTTTTTTTCCCGACAAGAAACAAAAAACCATCAAACCCGAAGCTGTAAAATAGTAAATGGGTTCACTAGCAGCCCAATGCTCCCATTTTCCTCCTGTCGGGCTCATAAAACATATTGTGGCTACAAAACATCTGACTTTTTACAAGACATACTTTGAATTGCCCTTCTGTTTGTTTGCATGAGTGTGCCCTGCATGACCTTTCATGTTGTGTATTCCAGGGTAGCTATATGGTGTGTGCGAGCATTAGACAGATTGAGTGAGAAAGTGACACACTCATGATTAATGCTGCCCAACAGTGTCACCTAGTGGATTGATGCAGAAGCTGCATATTACATTTACTTGACCTCTGTGTGTGTGTGTGTGTGTGTGTGTGTGTGTGTGTGTGTGTGTGTGTGTGTGTGTGTATTTAGATGTGGGAAGAGGCCATCACTCTCTGTAAGGAACTGGCTGAACAGTACGAAAACGAGATCTTTGACTACGAGTTACTCAGCAAGAGACTGGTAAGAAATGACTATCTCAAACCTTTATCGTCTGCACAGTTATCATGTTCTCACATTTTCCACTTTCCACTTAACTTCCCCTTTAGCTGCAGTAACATAGCTCACATCCAGTGCACCTTTTGCGTACTGGATCTTATGTACATTGATCAAATTGTCTTTGACCTTCAGTAAGTTGCTTATTGATCAGAAAATATAAATGTAACAGTTGCAACACTTGATAGGTCATCTGCACTTTAAAATTGCATGTTTAAAAATGAATATCTACTAAACTATTCAAGTCCCCCTTCAATTCTGGTGTGAAGGACTCTGGTTAGAGGTTTCACAATTACTGTATGACCCCAGAAGAGTGATTCATCACTGCTAATCATATACAACTTCAAACACTTCTTACTGTCAATCAATCTTGTGTTTCTTGCTTCTCTTGCTCTGTCACCACAGCAGTAGATTCCTTCCTTCACAAATCCAACCCCACATTCTCCTCTTTCTCCCCTCCACTGAACTCACCCCCTCCCCACATAGAATTACAATTTTACCAACAATTCCAAATCTCTTTCTCTTTTCATATGACTGCAGCAGTGGCTCAGCTAATGCCAAATGTATGTGGTTATATCAATTACAGACATTGCCCTTGGATACTATGCACTTTTTTGTTTCCACATCTATCATCAAAGCTCACAGCATTCTGCTGAGGGTGGCTTTGTCTTTGGCACAAGCTGATAAAACTGCTACGGCTGCACCATCTGAAACTTCCCCCTGAACATATCCTTTGTCTTCCTCGTTGTCCCCTCTCTCTCTCTCTCTCTCTCTCTCACTCTGCAGGAGAAACAAGCCAAGTTCTATGAAAACATCATGAAGATCTTGAGGCCTAAGCCGGACTACTTTGCAGTGGGCTACTACGGACAGGGCTACCCTCCATTCCTCAGGGTTTGTCTTTCTCATGGTTTGCTTTGAATGAATATTATGCATAGCAGTTTTCAAACAGTTGGATCACAATGTTTCACGCTGTGTAAGGAATACAAAGGTATTACCGACGACCCTTTCTTGTACAAAGCAGTCGAAGAAAACGCTTATTCTCCATTATCAGCACTGAAGCTTAGCTATTTAAAATTGCAACAGTAAACAACTTTCCAAACACACTAGCAAGATGCTTAACAGAAGGAGGCATATTGTACCTTCAGGGAGCGTTGTTGATCTGTGGATTTCAGCAGGTTGCAGAAATAAATATTCCGCTGTTTGTAGCTCCAATGTTTATTAGATGTGTTTATCTGCTTCGGTAAGGAGTCTGATGAAGGCAGCGAGTCAGTTCTTAGTAGCTCAGGGCAGTGATGAGGGAGACCAGGCATAGGCCCACTTTGAGAAATATTTACAACCACTACCAACTCTTTATGTGTTGATCAGAGGCTACATAAGGGTTTGATTATCATCAGTACACTCTTATATAACATACATATCCTATGCCTGCAGAACAAGGTGTTTATCCACCGTGGAAAGGAGTACGAACGCAGAGAGGACTTCCAGAACCATCTGATGAGCCAGTTCCCCAGCGCTCTGCACCTCAACACCACCACCATGCCAGGAGACGACATCAAGAACTCTCCACTGCAGTGTATCCTCGTGGCACACACAGAAATACACTAATGTGCGATCATAGATATACATAGAAAGATGTACAAGCAATTTGTGGTCTTACAGTCAAGTGTAGTACTGAATATATAAAGTAGACTTTAATATACAGTCCATGCTGTACCTTAAGGTTCTGTTAGGGTTGAAGAGGAAGTGTATCTTTCAGTGTTTTCAAAAACTAAATATTGGTGGACACAAAAAAACGAATCTAAGTGTATCAGAACTTATCACAGAGACATTTTTCTTTACATTAGTTGTATTTTTTGATGTATATATCTTAAAACCCTGCCACTGGATGTCTGAAGTGTTGTCAGTAGTGTAACTATCAGTTTGTAGATTTTGTCACAGCTGACAAAGGACGGACTGTCCTGTCCAAACTGTATTGATGTTTTCTTCCTGAGCATTATGAACCAGATATCCAGTGTTTCACAGTGCAGCCAGTCCTCGAGATTCCTCCTCGCCTGAAGAACAAACCTGTTCCTGACCAGATCATCAAGTAAGTCAAAGAGCATGTTTAACCGGTCATTTATTTCAAATAAAATGTGTTGACGTAAAATGATGTGAAAAATAGTTCTGACAATGTTGCAAATTAGTTTTTTATTTTCCTTGAGTGCCTTTTACCTCGGTCTCCCTCTTCTTTTATGTCCAGCTTCTACAAGTCCAACTACGTGCAGCGCTTTCACTATTCCAGACCGGTGAAGAAAGGACCTGTGGACCCAAACAATGAATTTGTTGTGAGTTTTTCCATTTAGTTTTTTGTGATAAGACTTAAGACCACTGGGACAGTGTTTCAGAAGTTATTGTGTACTTGCATTGTTATCAGTCTGAAAAGACAAAACAATAAGGCTGATAAATCCTCCTCTACATGGACATTTTATATTTATAATGCTCTGCTTTTTTCTTGCTAAGGTCACTATATATTTTCTTGTACGCTCTAGCATCGATCACAACTATTCCCTCTCTATCTCTCTGCTCTCAGCTACCAACACCCTTAATACAATATATATTATGTTGTATTATATTACTTGTTATATACAATGTCATCTAATCGCTTTTTTCTTTATTATTCCCTTTTAAAATCTGTTTTCAGTCAATGTGGATTGAACGCACAACCTTCACCACTGTGTACAAGCTGCCAGGGATCCTGCGCTGGTTTGAGGCTACGGACATGAAACATGTGAGTCTGTGTTGGGTGGGGGGGTTACTCCGTTTGTGTTCTGAGCTAATGCCTCCTCTTTCAGGTCTCTGTCTCACCTCCACCAATACATTTATTTTTTAACTGAATGATCTTCCTTTATNACTTCTTGCTCTTTGTGTGTGTGTGTGTGTGTGTGTGTGTGTGTGTGTGTGTGTGTGTGTGTGTGTGTGTGTGTGTGTGTGTGTGTGTGTGTGTGTGTGTGTATACACACACACACACACACACACACACACACACACACACACACACACACACACACACACACACACACACACACACACACACACACACAAAGAGCAAGAAGTATCCTTCATTACACCATCAAATACTGTACATCTGAATCGGCAGCAGCTGTCGTTGTGGGAATTTTTCTTGTGAAATCTGTTTCCAGGTCTCTGGAGAGTGAAGTGAAATGTCTCTTTCAATGCTTCAGAGAACATAAAGCATTCATAGAGAATACAGAATGAATCTGACATCAACACACAAAGACTATGACTGAATACTTGATACAGGAAAGGAACATTTTCCAAAATAAAAGTGTATGTCTTGAATTCTGATCTTAGAGGCTTTTAGAAACAAGTGAAATAAGTTCAAAGAGTTTTGCTACTTCGAAAAGAAAGATGAACTGTCCTGCTAAAAACTTTCTTTGTTTTGATTTTGGAGTGAAAAAAACTGCGGTTTCATGTTTTCAAAATGGCATTTAAAGGGTTAAAATCCTGAAAATTGTTACATTTTTGGTATTTTCTATTAGGGCGGAAGTTGCTTTAAAGATTGAACCCAAAAAACCTTTTAATATAATGTTTTTATTAAAGTATTTTGCAGTGGACATTTTTGTCTCGAATGATTAATTTGCGTAGTCNTCAACACTGGAATCAAGCAAATATTAATATGTTTGCATGACATTAGTTATTTATATTTTGATATCACTTAATTACACGTTTAATACATTTAAGTCAAGCTAAGGTACATGTGATGGTAGCTAGTTAGTGCTCTTACCTGTGAGGCCTCCTCCAAACAGCATAATTACCAGACTGTATCATTAACCCTCCGGTATCATTCGATTGGACTACGCAAATTAGTCATTCGAGACAAAAATGTCCACTGCAAAATACTTTGATAAAAACATTATATTAAAAGGTTTTTTTCACAACTTTTTTGGATTCAATCTTTAAAGCAACTTCCACCCTAATAGAAAATACCAAAAATGTAATCATTTTCAGGATTTTAACCCTTTAAATGCCATTTTGAAAACATGAAACCGCTGTTTTTTTTCATGATGAAAACAGAGAAAATGAGTTATTTTCCAAAAAATACATATCTGGTGACTGGCTCTTTTTTTTTTATAACAGTCTTGGATTTGTCAAAGATTAGCAGCAAAATAAAAAAATTAATTATTAGTTTTTGCACAAAATCAGATTGCACAAAAAAGTTAAATATTAGTCATTCGGGACAAAAGTGGCCACTTCCAAAAACTGCTTTAAAATGACAACAGANTTATATTAAAAGGTTTTTTGGGTTCAATCTTTAAAGCAACTTCCGCCCTAATTTAAAGGGTTAAAATCCTGAAAATTGTTACATTTTTGGTATTTTCTATTAGGGCGGAAGTTGCTTTAAAGATTGAACCCAAAAAACCTTTTAATATAATGTTTTTATTAAAGTATTTTGCAGTGGACATTTTTGTCTCGAATGATTAATTTGCGTAGTCCAATCGAATGATACCGGAGGGTTAATGGAGGTCAAGATGGAGGAGCAGGTTGTGTTGTAAAACCATGCTGACCTTGCCCTTGTCAAAGTAGTCGATGATGGTGTCGTAGAGCGTTTCTTTGAGCTGCCGCTGCGTTTGGGAGCCGTGGAACTCAAACTGGGGGCTGCACATCTCATCCAACCACTGAAATACAGACAGGATGGAAGATATACATAAAGATGAGAGGACAGAGACAAAATGTGAGATGCAGTATGTCAACGTGAAGTAAAAAGAGTAGCCAGACCAAACAAGTCTTTTACTTTCCCTTTCATAATGACGTTAAAGCAAAAGAGGAAAAGAACTTGAGGCTAATTTGTTTGTTGTAATGAATCAATATTAGCCATAAGCAGAGTGTGCACCAAAGCAAACCGCACAATGCTCATTTATCATATAAACAAGACAATAATGTATCTTCCATTACATAAATTGGACAGAAATTCATTTACAGTAGGAACCAAACGTAAAAGTGCACAATGAGCAAAATGACCAAAACAGACTTATTTAAACTGTGCTCAGTGAAGTTTGTTAGAAGAGGATGACAGCATGCTGTGCCTTACTGCCTATTAATAAGAAACAGACATGACAGGACTGACACTAGAGATGAATTAAGTTCATAACAAATGTTATAGAGTTCAACTGCTTACTAGACAGAGAGGAGCAGAGAGACAGAGAGAGAGAGAGGGAACAATGCCTCTATTCCTCTGTCCCTCTCTGTGAAATCTAAGTATGCTATAAAAGAGGTCAAACACACACAGACACGTGCGCGCCAACACTCACACAAAAAAGCTGCACGCATACAGACTCCGGAAATCAATCACCATAGTGATGCAGCACTAGTGGCCGATGCAATGCCATAAACTAACGGCAGAGCTTAATCATTCGGAGGCCAGGACCCATTTATCAGCATATAAAAAACTGTCTCATTCGTGGGCTCAAACAAGTGATTAGACAGAGCAAGACACTAGCTCCAGCATTAAAATGACAACATATCCCTCTTTATGTGTGTGTGTGTGTGTGTGTGTGTGTGCGCGTGTGTGTGTGTGTGTGCGTGAGAGTGTGTGTCCTACCTTGAGCAGGCGGGAGTGGAGCAGCAGTGTGTATGCTGCCTCCGTGTAGTTTTCACCCTCCAGATGAAGGTCCCTCAACTTGTAAAGGTACCTGAGAACACACGTGTAAACACACACACACACACACACACACACACACACACACACACACACACACACACACACACACACACACACACACACACACACACACACAGAGGT